CTGCTGGAGTGTGACATGATTTGTTTGTGTACAAACTAATACACTATCAGAGTTTTATATATTTATACTTCTCATTCAACCACAGTTAAATTCACTCTATCTAGGAGGCTCAGTTTATATGGATAGTTTTTATTTTTTACAACAACAAGCTGCAATGAAAACAAGCAGAAATGAAATAACGACTTTATACTTCTTGTCTTTTTAAAAATGTAAGAAGTAAAAAGTAAGCTGGAAAATAATTTTTCAAGTAAAGTACAGATACCCAAAAATTCTACTTAACTACAGTAACAAAGTATTTGTACTTAGTTACTTTACAACTCGTGGTGAGACCTGACAGTCAGTTTCTGTCAAACTGAGTCAGAGATGTTTTTCATCTGGCTGTGGCAGCCATCTTGGATTGTGTTGCCACCAAGATGAACCATCTGTTGATGATGATGATCCCTCAGTTTTATTTCTTCTTATTTTTATTCATTTAACTTTTATTCCTCAGCTTCACTTACCTCCCTTTGATTTAAAGTTAATTTGATCTGTGCATAAATCTTCATCATGTTTGTTCCTCAGACTCCTGCTCCTGGTCGCTGTGACCTCCCTCAGAGACTGGACCTTCACACAGACTGCACCTCCTGCGCCGCCGCCCTCACCTCCAGCTGCCCCCAGGGTTTCACCAAGGTCGGCTCCGTCAACTGCAGGTACAGAAACTCAGACTCTTTGGAGGCGGAGTCTGAGGACGACGAGTCCATCGCCCTGACAGAGGGTACCCCATTCTTGAACTTCAGTTTCAGGAGAACTAAAGTGGACCAGATCTTTGCAGACTTACTAAAAGGGTTCTGGGAGTTTGACATTCTAGTCCACATGGGTTTCTGGATCTAGAGAAGTTTTACGGTTGGGTTTCCTGAGACATTCCTGGGGGGTACCAGGGTTTTCAAGAGCTTTATTGCAGAAGCTGGGTCAGGCTCATTCCCAGAGGGAGTCTCGTTCCTGCAGGATGGAGCAGAGATGGACCAACAAATCTGGGCCCATTAACGAGGCTGTTGCTCCGGTCTGGAGCTGAGCTAAATAAGTAAAGCATAAAAAGCTCAGGTATTTTGAAACGTGTGAGACAAATATCAGTCAGAACTTTAAGAATGTTCCTTGAATATCCTGATGCATCTCAGTAATCCAGGTAAAAAATTAAAAAGAAAAAAATAGTATAGGTCTTCTGGACGGGTTCTTCTCTAATGAAACGTTTCGTCTCTCCTCCAAGAGACTTCTTCAGTCTGAGAGTTTCAGGCWAAATTCAGGCTTTTAAGCACTGCCTCCATGTGACTGATACTCACATCACATGGCTATCGTTGACACCTAGTTAACACCTATTGTTAACAGGGGATGAGTGATACTAGCAAAGCAGCACTGTAGGAGGGGGACAACTGAAAACGGAGGCCTCCACTTCTGTTTAATGATGGACGGTCTTTCTTCACAAAAATGTCTTCTTTTACTCCTCTCTCAAACCAA